GAAATTCCTTGAAGGATAGAAACTGTGTCTTATTTTGGTTTTCGTGCAGCAGCTAGTACAGTCTTGAATGCATATTGTTATGTTCTGCAAGTACCGACTGGCTGCGGGATGGACGTGGGAAAGGAAAGTGAGATTAATCAGGAATTCTCCTTTTGTGGAGAATACACGTCAGTTGCCTACATTCCTCCTCTCCTCCCAGATGAGCCTACCCCTGCTGACACCTGCAGGGGCACCCATACACCATCACAGACAATTCTTCCCTCTCCTAGAACCTTTCTATTGGCCCAAATGAAAGGCCCCAGCAGGCAGTGTTCCCGATACTTGCCACAGCTAGTTCTTGCTGAGTCCTATCCTTTTGCACTCTGTCCCATACAATAGAAACCTGGTCATCGTCCACCCCTTCTCCACCATCTCCCACATCCAATTAGTCATGAGGTCTTCTTTCTCCTAACTTCTCAAGATTTTAAAAATCTATTCCCTTCTTTCCATTGCTGCTGCCACTGCTTAAATTCAGACCATTGTCAGCCCTTCCCCAGTTGACTGCAACAACCTCCCAATCTGTCTCTCTGCCTGGGTCTTGCCCTCTTTACGCTGGACCTGCAATGATCTTCCAGAGATGCAAATTCAATTACATTGCTTCCCACATAACTTCCTTTAATGGGGCCCTATTGCTCTGAAGACCAAGTCCAAACTCCTCCTTAACAAGAGGACTCCCGACTCTTCTCCCTCTAACACCTGTTGCGCCCTAGGTCTCGCTTCTCACCTCCCTGTGCATGGCCCCCTTCCCCTTCTTTCTCACACACAACCAACCAGCCTCTTCCTCCCCCCCCCCCCCCAGGACTCCCGACTCTTCTCCCTCTAACACCTGTTGCGCCCTAGGTCTCGCTTCTCACCTCCCTGTGCATGGCCCCCTTCCCCTTCTTTCTCACACACAACCAACCAGCCTCTTCCTCCCCCCCCACCCCACCCTTTCCAGCCATCTTCAACTCAATACGCTTCCTCTCATGCTTCTTTGCTCACCTCTGGGCCTTTTGTGTCTTATACTTTGGAAATTGTCCATTTGCTTCCTTGACATTATGCAGGGATTTTGCCAAATGCTTACACAAAACAGGAACTTCAAAAATATTAAATATATAAATGAACATTTAAGTCAGTTATTGCTGCTTTGATTTCACTGCTCTTTGTTGGATATTGTCTGACTTTTATTAAGTATTTGCACCAGACCCTATTTAAAGCTCTTTAAACATAAAAATTTAACTTATTCTGAGAAATAGGTACTATTATATTTCTATTATACAGTTAAGGAAACTGAGGCATGGAGAGACTAAGTTGCCTGCCTAATGTCACTCAGTTAGTGAGTTGTTGAACAGACTTGGCCTCAGGCAGGCCTACGCCAGTGTTCCCTCTTCACCAGTATACCCCGTGTTGCCTTCAGAGCCAGCGATACACTCACAAGGTATATCACTGAGGCGTGGCGGGGTGTGAACCAGATGGATTTACAAAGTAGAGGGGGCCCCTGACAATGGGAGGATAAAGGCTTCTTGAATGATGAACAGATCAGAGGAGGGGCTTAGCCAGGCAGGTGAGGGTTCAGTGTAGGTTGTCTATATCCACAGTCACTGTCAGCCACACGGTCCTGGACAGTCTTGGAGGAAACAGTGTCCGTTCAAGAAGACTTGAGTTTGAGCATCTACTATTCTATGCACTGGGGATACCAAAAGTAGAGTAAGACACTGATTTTTTTTTTAAGGGACCCACAATCTGGTGAAACAGACTTCAAAGCATCAGGAACTGTGTAAGACAAATAGGTTGTGGTTAACAGTGTAACAGAGAGGTGGCAACCTTCCTTCTTGTAATGAACTCCCCACTTTACTTCCTTACAGGCCTAGCTAGAACAGTGCTGACTGAGTGCCTACTATGTGGTGCTAGAAAAATGCTAGATGACTACAATGACTGAGGCATGAGTCCCCCCATCCTAGATGCAGTAAGCCCCAGAAAAATACTATGTTACATAGACTTTATGGGGCATGGACACTTCCCTCCCACTATTTTTCACATAGTGGGGCTAAATGAATACCAGTTCCTGGCTTGCTCAGGGCCCTGGCATCTCAAGGTTTTCTGTAGGACACTTGGAAACATGGTGTTTCTCTAGGCTAAAGACAGGCTGGGGAAAGTGATGAGGAGCTATTTCAGAACAGATGTCAACAGAGCCCTTCTTTCCGTGCTGAGAATCAGCAAACACATGCCCTGAGCCTGCCAGGCAGAGTGACTGAGGCACAGGCTCCAGAGCACAGAAACAATAAGCTGGCCTCCTAGGGACTCTCACAGTTACAAATAAATTAGCTTTGATGGAAGAGTGGCCTTTGCTCATTTTTCAGGAGTGTGGATGTGGGAACTCAGGCCGGTTTGGAGTTTAATTAAGGGTGGCAGCTGGCAGAGTAGGTCAGATGGTTCTGTTCTCATGCTCCATTCCTGTCACAAGTTGCTAGTTGGATTTTGTTTTTCTCCAGATATTCCAGTTGCCTTGTTCCCTCCCTTGCCACTGTCCACATGTTGTTCTGTGTGCTGTTGTAGTGGCATGACGTTATGCTCAATTACAATATAGAGAGTCCAGGTGGGGGCCACACTCTAGAGATAGAGAAACAAAACTCTAAGAAAACTTTGAAAACCAGTGGCAAATAACAGTGCTCCCATTTGAGAGGCTTTCTCCCTATGCATGCTGTGACCACCTGGGGACTTATAATACCTGGAGAAAAGGACAGCTGTAATTATGGCATGCCTAGTGTCCATGTTATCTATATGTGATCCTCTATCAGAATGGATGATGGCAGAGACAAGGGCAGCTCCTGTCTCCTGTCCAAGCAAACCAGACACAGGGAGGAAAGAAAGCTGACTTAGAATCACACAATCTCAGGTAAGGACAGGATCTCGAGGACTTGGAGCTATGAAGGTTTCTATCTTCATAGAGAATGACTACATAGGTTTATTGTAAAAGTGGGCATGAATGTTAAAACCATCCCATTGATTAGCCAAAAAGTGCTTGTTAAAGTACCAAGGATAACTGCAGATGTTCCTGAATGGAAAATCTCTAAATCATATGCTCTAATGATGTAAGGGAGGGATAATCAATCAAACCCTAGCTTATATGCTTCCTGTTCTGGGGACATGAAATCCAGGTAGGCTAAGAGTGCTAGAAAAGTCAGATCTCCTGAGATGGCATCATATTTTGGGAAACTAAGTTGGACAGTACTCATATATGTGTCTGGCATAAGGTCTTTAGGGAAATGCTTTATCATATGATTGCATGCTACTTGCAGTGATGCTGTATGTGCTCTAAAAACACTTCCTGGATGGGAAGCTCTGCCCTGCATCACCAGCTGCCTACTCGCTCAGGTCCCATACAAATGAGTTAATTACCTGATGTGGAACAGACTTTGAAAGCAAAGCAAGAAATATATAAAATAAAGGCTGTGATCCTCCTGTGTGATAGTTTCCTTTATTAAATCATTTTTAAAAAGAGAATTGGGCAAATTCCTGTAATGTTGGAATTCTAGGGAGACTAGGTTTTTAGGGTTCCTGACCATAGAGACCTTGAGTAGAAATGTATTTAAGTAGAAAAGTACTCACCCAAATCTTTAGTAGAAAAGTACTTTAAAATGTAAGTCACCCATAGCCAGTAGCCTTTGGGTTAGGAAGATCCATTCCTGGCTTAGAGTGTCTTAAAACTTTAGTAAATGAAAACTGTAGGCAGGTCTAGTGTGTAGGACGTCATCTTATTTTTGAGAACATTGAGGTTGGGAAGGGATGAAGAATGTATAAACACTTAGAAATTAAGGGGAACTTAAAGATGGTCAATTTCATTAGCTTAATTTTAAAAGTGAAAATGCCAAGGTCAGAGAAATTATCTGAGCTTTAGCAGCAAGCTTGCTTTAGCTTCTGAATTGGAGCTCCATGGAAACAGCTCTACCTGTCTCGAAGTGTTAGGCATAGCGGTCAGCGACTTCTGGCCCTCATTCCTCATTCCTGTTATTCTCATGGTGTCAATGTTCTGCCAAAATCATGTAGGAAATAAAGGATTTGTATGTAAGGTGATCAAAAGCTGTATTCCCAAGGAAAATGGTATATCATTAAACTGGATTGTGAGCTCCCAGAGAGCAATGATTTTGTTTTGGGTTTCTTTGTATCTTTCTTAATATGAAGGTGTACATTTTACATCAATATATAATACTTAAATATTTGATCTAAAATGTTCCAGTTGTGAAAAAAAATTAATATTTTTATTAGTGATAGGAACAGTGTAGGGCTAAGTGCATGGACTTTGGAGAAAGACTGCCTGGATTTGAATTGACTTTGCCCAGTATAACATCTGGGCAGGTGACCTAAATCCTCTGTGCCTTAGTTTCCTTGGTGATAAACTGAAATAGTAATAGTCCTTACCTTGCTGAGTGGTCGTGAGGATTAGATGTGTTAATATATGCGAAGCACTTGGAACAGTGCCTGCCCCAGACAAAGTGCTCAATGAGTATTAGCTCTTACTAGTCAGTATGCAGAGAAGGCTGTCTTTAATTGTTGTTGAGAAATATTCCAGATGCGCTAATGTCATGATGTTAACTGATCACTGTTAACTGATTCTAAAAAATAAGAACAATTGTTATAGGGGTCATTAATTCTTAGAGTTTTGGACATTTCTTTGTCCAGAGCTATATTTATATAGCTCTCAACTTCCACTATTGCCTCTTTTTATACTGTGATATCCAGGTTTTCTTAACAAATAAATGGATTCCCTAGTTTGGTTACTGTTGTCTAAAGCCACTTTCTGCCTGTTCACTGCCCTCTTATAAATTAAAACTTGAATAAGGAAAAGCCCCCTTTTTACATTCCTGTATTAATCCATCCAGCTGTCATTTTGATTGACAGGCTCTTTGCCCTTGAGATGTTATTATGTGACTGATCCCTTACTGATATGAGCAGGTGTCCTCATTCTGGTTTTATTTCCACAGTATATTCCTCCAGATCTCTGCGTCTGCAATTTTGTGCTGGAACAATCCCTCTCTGTCAGAGCCCTGCAGGAAATGCTTGCCACGACGGGTGAAAATGGCAGCCAAGGGGTGAGTACCTGTGTTATGTCCTAGCTTGGGACTGGGAAACACCACAGACCAAAAGCACATTCTGTATTTATCCCTCCGGTTTTGAACTGGAAAACTTTAGGACCCTTGAGATGATCCATAGGAGATAGTAAATCTTTCTCCTTGACTTTAGGTTTCTTTTATTGAGAAACCCTAATCCTGCTTCTTTTGGGTTGACCAGCTTCCACCAGAAGATCGAAGAGACACCCACTATTGCTGCCTGAGCAGGGCATAGGACAGTGAACCTACTCCTCTCTCCCACCCCAGAATCCACCAGGGAATGTGGAGAGGCTGACAGAGCCTTCGATGGAGGGTGCCGGTTAGTCAGGTTCTTTTTTCTTGGGAAAACCCGACTGGGGATTTATGACTGCCCCAGTGGAACACAACAGGTTACAACAGTTCAGAGAGGGGGGGGTTTCCTATAAAATTCAGTCTTCGACATGTGTCCTGAACTTGATCGTTTCACTGATGGTGAGCAAGTGTAGAACTGTCTTGAGTTGCTGTTGTCTGTAAAATGGTCCTTAAGTGTTTAACCAAGGAGACAGTGTTCCATATTCCCATGTCAGAAGGTCTCCCAGGGAAGACTTTGGCCAAATATTTCAAAATAATTTTTGTTTCTTTCCTTCTTTAATGACTCAGATTCATTCGTCATCAAATACTTTAATTCTACTGCCTGAATATGTCAAATCCGACCAGTTCTCTCCAGCCTCCCCACTCCCCCACACTCGGTTGGATGACCATCCTCTACCTTCTGGGTTACTGCGACAGCCTGCTAACTGCTTTGCTTCCCTCTACACTTCCCGCTTCCTCCCATTTTTTCACCCAACAGTCATAATGTTTTTCCTAAAATGCATATGTCATCAAATACTTTAATTCTACTGCCTGAATATGTCAAATCCGACCAGTTCTCTCCAGCCTCCCCACTCCCCCACACTCGGCTGGATGACCATCCTCTACCTTCTGGGTTACTGCGACAGCCTGCTAACTGCTTTGCTTCCCTCTGCACTTCCCGCTTCCTCCCATTTTTTCACCCAACAGTCATAATGTTTTTCCTAAAATGCATATCCAATTATTACACTTCCCTGTTTCAAATTCCTTTGTCTTCCCATTACCTTGAGATTAATTTCAAATTCCTTAACAGGACATACAGCCCTACAGAATTTGGTGAGCCCTGTTCACCTATCCTGACCTGTCTCTTACCACATCCCCCCAAGCACTCAATGTCCCGGCCACGTGGAATTCCTTTCACTGCCTCAAACATGCCAGTTCTCTTTTGCCTCTGATCCTGCTTACCAGCTATTTGCTCCACACGGAACAGCTTTCTTCCTCTCTATCTTCCCTTATGTAATCCCTACTTATCCTTCAAGGAACGAGGTTAGATACTAGATCAGCTAAGAAGCCTCCAGCGACCTCACAAGTCTGGTGTTTGGGCAACATTGAGTCTTCTTCCCATCATAGTTCTCATCACTCTGTAGTGTAATTCCAAGTCTTTCTTTCTTTCTCCTTTATTGGAGAGTATACGCCCGTGGGTAGGAACTGTTTGCAGTTACCTAGTAGCACAGTTTACTCTTAATTGACTTGAATGAGCTCATACATAGTATAGAAGTGTCTCATTTGTGGTAGGAGAGACAATGACCAGAGAATCGAGAGAATCGGTGTCTACAGTTTGGTCTTCCTCCAGCTCTTAATTTGATTTTAGGCAACATGTCTAATCTCTTGGGGCCACGGTGTTCTCACCTATAAAATTAGGATATTTAATTAGATCTTTAGGATCCTTTACATGAACTGTTTGTGGTTCTTCACTCCTAGTTTATGATAATATGTTTTGGTCAGCCACCTGAGAAGAGCTTTGCTTTTTTCCTTACAGCATTGACACAGGTGAGATTTTTGTTTGCTTAATGTTCACCCCAATCAGGGTTCATTTCCTCCTTCCTAACGTTATTCTCAGCACCCCATGTTTTTTGTACACCCTCAAACATTTCCAGTTTAGTGAAACAATTATTTAAAATTGCTCACCCTTTTTCCAAGACTCATTATATACAGAAATATTTGATGAAGGAGACCTGGTCGTCTTAAATATCACCACTTTCAGTGTCAAACAGGATCTGCCAGATCCTGCCTACTTGCTTATGGCCCCAGGATATTAATTGGGGAGATAGAGAGATGCTATGTTAACTGAAGAATCGTCTTTTGGGTATTATTTTATCATATTTTGTCCAGAAAGTGTATGTCAAAGGACTTCTTTTTCTTTATCGTTTAGCTTGACTGGTTTAGGGAGTCCTGTAGATGAGAAAGTAAATTTAAAAGTTTGTTTCTCCTTTGTTGCCAAGAACTTAAATAATAATCTTAACTTGGTTTGTCTTAAAGAGGAATAAGCAATAATTCATTTTCCAGATAGAATAAGACCAATTTAATAAAATTGAACCCTTAGTTTTGAAACATATGAGTAAGACCCACCTTAATTACCAGCCATGTAGCAGAAGTTTATTCAATATAGTAATATATTTCAGGGGCCATCTATAATTTACAATATTTAGAAACCAATATAGTCAATCTTATTGGGGGAATCTACTCTTTTAGAATCTCAAGTTTAAAATAAATGATCCATGACATTTTTAAGTAGCCATTGGGTAATAATAATCACCATGTTGGGTCAGACTCTGAAATTTCCCATGTGTTATATTACTGTTTTGTGCAATTCTACTAAAGATAAGAGGGATCTAATAGTTATTTCCCATCTTGACACATTTATTACTATTACTATTTACCAGAAATATTAGAGATGGAAGGAAGGGTCTTGAGAAGACAGTTGGAGCATAGATAAGAAGGGTACTCTTTAAAAAATATTATTATTTCGGGGGAGTGGGATATGGGGAGAGGGTGGTCAATGGATACAAAATTGTAGAGATATGAAGAATATAAGATCTAGTGTCCTATAGCAATATAAAGAGACAACATCAAATTACTATATAATTTCAAGTAACTGGCTGAGGATTTTGAATGTTCCCAGCACAAAGAGGTGACCAAATGTTTGGGGTGATAGATGTGCTAAATACCCTGATATGATCATTGCACACAGAATAAATGTACCCAAATATCACATTGTACTCCATAAATATATATAATTATCATGGATCAATTAAGAAAAGATTAATTAAAAAGAAAAAAAATTAGAAACAGAAGTAGATTAGCAATTCCCAGAAACTAGGGGGAAGGAGTAATGAGAAGTTATTGCTTAACGGGTACAGAATTTATGTTCAGGATGAAGAAAATGTTTTGGAAATAGATAGAGGTGGGGGTCACACAGCATAGCTAATGTAATTAACTCCACCAACTGTATGTTTAAAAATGCTTAAAACAGCAATGTTTATTTATGTATATTTTACCACAATAAAAAAATTTTAAATGTTAAAATTATTATTATTTTAATATTCATTGGTGGCTCCAAATAGTTACCTGGACATCAGCTTCAGACCCCTCCTGGAACCCTGTCACAATTCCATCTGAGCTCTCAGCCTCTAGTATGAGAAACTCTGTTTTCATATAATCTCTTCAGTCTGATTGTTTTGCTTTTCTGAAGTGATGACTATGCACACTTACTATTAGTACTTAATTTGATTTTGGAAAATAATATTCAGCAGGAAAGAAAAAGAGGAAAAACAAAGAAGGAAGTGAGTTAATATAACAGACTATAAAGATTCTCTGGAGAGCCTGGGGATGTCTGAGTAGGCTGAAGTCTCCTTAGCATGCCATTCCTTTCTGTTTGGAAATAGGCGTTTACTGCTTTTAAATAGATATTACTTTCACTAATGATCATGACTGCCACCAAATGGGATGCTTTGAAGAGTGTAATTTTTCCTTCTAGTCATGAATTGGTCATTGTGTGGTGTGTCTGTTCACTGCCGTGTAGCAACTGGGCATTTTAAAAATTGACTTAAGTTGTTTGTTCATTCATGTGATGAATGTACAGAAGTCTTTTTGCAAGGATTTACAATTCTGCAGCAATTTTTGTTGCTCACAAAGAAAACAAAGGTGCCCAGCCAAATTTAACAGCAGAGAGTTTTTTATTATTGAAATGTCCTTAGCTACAGCCGATAGCATGAGGGAGCCAGCTTTATGTCAAAAAGGCAATTAAATGATGAGGAGGAGGATCTGGGGACCGAGAACGTTTGGTGCTTTTCAGAGTCTGCCCTAGCTAAGCTCATCCTTGGATCACTTTCCATCTGATCTAATCCTATCTAATTTTATTCTGGGGAAAATTACCAAGGAATAGATGCTTGTCAGTGTAGCCAATTTTATGGCTAGAGTTTGAAGTAAAATCCATACATATAAATAAAATATTTTCACATTTTTTATTGGTTGGATTTGTAGTGTATGGAATGTCCACCAACCTTCATCAGGATGTGGGGCCAAAATAGATGACACCATCTCCATCTAAACTCAATCTTCACCATCCTATAGAAATGACTTTAAATTTAGAGCAAGCAGCATTTGTAGTGAGAAAAGCTCAGTTTTTGGAGTCAGGCAAGTGTGTTTTCAGTCCAGCCTATACTAGACGAGATGTCCCACGGGAAAAATGATTTCTCCTTTCCGTACCTTACCATCCACATCTTCAAAGTGCAACCTACCTCATAGAACTAGGTGAGAATTCAATGAGATCAGTGCCTACAACTGCCCATGAGTGTGGAAATAGGTATCAGTTCTTTGGAGTCAGGCAGGTGTGTTTTCAGTCCAGCCTATACTAGACGAGATGTCCCACGGGAAAAATGATTTCTCCTTTCCGTACCTTACTATCCACATCTTCAAAGTGCAACCTACCTCATAGAACTGGGTGAGAATTCAATGAGATCAGTGCCTACAACTGCCCATGAGTGTGGAAATAGGTATCAGTTCCTCTCTTCATCTCTGGTCTACTTCCTCCTGTCACACATATCCTTCAGGAACATTCAAACTGCCTCAAAGGAAGGTGAGCCCTGTGCTAC